GATATCAAATACTGTGAGATGTACAATAAAGTTGTGAGACCTAGCAACAACAGATATATATTGCTAAATCCTGCCCTATGTTGTGTATCCTCTTCCTTCCTTGTCTATGTGCGCAATAGCATAGCAAAGATAAATCCTCTACCCTTCCCTTGAAAACAAAGCTTGCAATTACCAGCGTGGCCTCAGAGGACTGAATCAGAAATTCCAACTGTAATTTAAAAAATATATATATCTTCAAACCCAGTTTATGATGGGAAATATTACTTAATCTTTTGAACTTATAGGAAGACTGGGATAAAAACATTGTTCAAATTTCCCTTTCCTCAAGAGGAAACATTTTTAATGACAATTTTAGTTTTTCCTTTTTTGTATGTAAAAACACCCCAAACCACTGTTGCATATAATTTAATTCTGGGAAATTGACTTCTCTCTTTCCCTCCTTACCCCCCGCCCCGAGGTGACTGCTGCCATGAGAGAGACTTTTTGGGCTCAGATGTGTCATGAATCCTGCAGTAATTAATAAAATCACTGGCTTTTTCCTAAACATCTGGCAAGGAGTCCTTGCACAGGTTAAGAGCTGTCTACACTTATTCTAGTTCAAAATTAATAAATCTGAAGGATTTAAAAAGCTATCCATCATTTTCTAATTTGTTTTTATTGGCTAAAGTGCTAGAGCGAGTTCTATCCAAACAAATTTGGCAGAAGCATCTGTTTCATAATAGAATAAAATGTCAACATCTCATTTTAGAAAATGACTTTCAAGTGGTGTAGACAACACATTCAGGATTGGATTCTGATCTCACTTTCACTGGCATAAATACAAAGTATGATCCATTGGTTCTATCTATGGAGTTACTCCTGATTTATACGACAGTAAATGAGATTGGCACAAGGCTCTTAGTTTTATCCACTGTGTTGTTTCCCCTACTGTACCTGTTGTGGTGCTCACTGTACCCATAGATTGAACACATGGGGATAGATCCTTAGCTGGTGTAGCAGCATATAAATCAATGGAGGTACACTAATTTACTCTAGATTAAGTGCTAGCTCTTCAAGCCAAAAATGCTTTAATATATGGAGACAGGAATATTCAATATGATGTTTAAACTTTGTTTTGATCATTGTTAAGGCTCTTCTTCAACTGTCCAGTGAGCAAGTGCTGCCTCGCCTGTTTTTGTGGTCTCAGTCACACAAACACATCTTCTGTTTCTTTTCCACTACATGCACCTTTAATCCTCTGTTTCCCAACAGGACAGGACATAGCACAGCTATACAGCAGCAGGAGCCTTCCATACATCTTCTCTCCTCCACCCAAGCTAACCCTCTGAGCGTCTCCTTACTTCCTATTCCTCCCAATTACATAGGGCTAATCTTCACTGTGGACTAAATCAGTGCCACTGCAGTGGCATTGATTTAGCAGGTCTGGTGAAGACGTGATAAGTCAATGGGAGAGCCCTCTCCTGTCAACTTAATTAATCCACCTCAAGGAGAGGCAGAAGCTAAGTCAATGGGAGAACGTCTCCCATCCACATAGCGCGGTGTAGACACCACTTTAAATCACTTTAAAACTTACGTAACATAACAAGCGTAACTTACATCGTTGTACAGCATTAGTGTAGACAAGGCCATACGCTCCCCTTTACTGAGCTAATTGTCTCATTAGCTCAGCAGTTACCACCAAGTTACCACTAGAAACAATCGATTGGCTTCAATTAAGTCTGCAGCCTTCTCTGTGCTGCAGCAACTTGAGTGCCCGGGGTGCTACAGCTAGCATAGTACTGTCACAATAATACATGTCCAACATGGGCCTGATTTTAAAACCAGCATTTCATTTTGCACTTGTATCTAATTAAGGGTAGAAATTCATGGATGAAATTAATTGCGGGAGTAAATGATAGTAGTTGGATAAGTACCTCCTGATCTGAATACATATCAGGAAACATCTGAGAGACATCATTTTTTCTTGCAATCAACTCTGCTCGTGATTCTGCAGTTATTTGTGGGTGCAAAATGGGGGTGAGTGGGTCAGTGTTATATATCAGGTCCCAGTCTAAACCTGGGCTGCCCTGAACAGATGGGGAACAGTTGTGGAAATTATAATGCTGATCCTGCAAAGAGATGCACATCATAACTTCATAGAGTCCCACTGACTTCAGTGGAAGTTTATATTTACAAAGGATGTGGTGAACTGGAACCTATATAAATATGTGCATAACAATGTCTAGAATATCTGTACCTACCACTATCAATGGAAACTATAATAAAGCACCTTCCAATTACTACAGTAAATACTCCCTAAAAACCACGGCTAATGTGAAAGGTTTTACATATTGCTCTTCTCGTCCATCTGCTATTCTTAGCCTTTTTTTTTTTGGCCCATGCATGTTTTTCCACTGTCTTGTGATATAAGTCTCCTTGTTGCTTCTCGGTTTTTGACTCCTGTTGTTGCATTAGGGTTTGGTTGCAAAGTCTGGCCACATTTGATCTTCCCGCGATCTGGAACTTGATTTTTTTATTAGAACCTGACTCTGACAGCCCTTAGTGCCAGTACTATTGTATGTGCATTATTTGATGTTAAAACTACAATAAATACATCATGTTCTCTCTCAAAATGTCAGATATCAATATGCTATGTCAGATCATAGCATAAAAATCCAAATGCATAAAGAATGCTATGATGAGACAGTGATTTAAATTCAAAATATACATTTAAATCCACTCAGAATACAGTTTGAGCATGAAATTAATCAAATAAATAGGCCTGATAAAATGTAAAATTATGCTCAAAGTAAAACATATGTATATATTAATGTATATGACATAATAGAGAAAACTCTTAGCTTATTAAAAACTTCAGATTTAGCACCTTGAGTCACTTTAATCATGCATTACCCACTAATTTCTACACAAACACATCTCAGGTCAAACTAGTAAATAATGAAATCATCCACAATTTCAGCTCATTTCCTATCTCTCACTGCAAAAATGTTGATTCCAGGCATGGGAATACAACTCTGAGCCAAAGAGTAATTACTTTATGGTGTTCATGACTCATAGGAAATAATGTCTCATGAGGATCATCTTAAAAAAGAATCCTTAAGTACACTGGTTTTAAACAAGAACACAAGCAAACTAAGGAAAAAGGGTCAGGTTCTGCCCTATGCTTGTGGCCCTCACAGAATCGTCCTGTCCTAGAGGGGTTCACCACCAAGCACTGAATTGACATAATGGCTCTATACCAGACCCCCATGGAGTTTTTGATGCAGGAGACATATCAAAGGTGGCCCAGGAGATAGGAGAGGAAGGGACATGTAGCTAGAACACACTGTGCTCCAGCTAATGGCCTCTTGAGGACCAACACAGGCCAGAGCAAGGAAAAGCCCAGTTCAGAATTCAGGAGGACTTCCCAGACCACTTCCTACCTTGCCCTGTCTTGGACCTTTGCCTCGGTCTCTTACCCGGCTCACAGTCTATCAACTCTGCTCTCTCTATTCCTTTTCCACCAGCTCACTTCAGGGCTTCTTAGCCGGTTCTGCTATCCAGCTGGTTCTGCTGGAGGAGAGTTTTCTCCAAATCCCTCTCATGCACTGCCTGACTCAGTAGGAATCTTCCTGCTCCCTGCAGTCCTCTCCACCAGCAGCCAAAGTCCTAGGCAGACTCACTTCTTCCCTGTTTTTTTCCCAACTGCCTTAAGCTTCCCATTTTAGACTTACCTTCCTTCGGGGATCCTCTATCTGCCCTAGTTCAACTCAGCTCCGTGACTCTGGCCAGCCTTCTCTCACTGAGTGAGAGCCAGGCACCTGCTCTCCTCCCTGGTAAGGGCCAAGCGGAGCCAGGCTCAGCCTTCTTAACTCCTCCCTCCAAACTTGACACCTACCGCAGGTGCAGCGGGGAGAGACTGATTGCGCCCACAGGTTCCCCTTAACCTCTTCAGGCCCTGTGTGAGGTTGGTATACATCATCAAACCCTCCCAACAGAAGTGTGTGGCAAAGAGATCTACTGAATAGGGCACAGAATGGGGAATCAGGAGATAAGTATATCTCTGTTGCTATCCATGGCTTGTGTGACCACAGGGAAATCTCCCCCCGTATCAGTTTTCTCATTTATAAAATGGGAATAAAGCTACTTACCCTTCTATAAAGTGCTTTGAGATTTCTACATGAAAAATGCTAATAATTATACTACATGCTGCCTGCCCTCCCTTGAAAGTCAATCTTTCAAGGGAGGGCACAGCTACTCCTGCTAGCCCCTAACACCAGCAGGGGTGAATCTAGATCCATTAATGATATTCAATCAAAACACCAATTCAGCAAACCACAATGGTGGAAATAAACAGAGTTCCAATTTAGCTTCTAGCAGCAGTGCCACTGACAGATTGATTTCAACCAGTTTAGTTATGTATGTTTACAGCCTGTAAGTAAGTGTAACATCAGGGTTTATTACAACTGAGTTCTGATGGCAAAGAACATAAAAGCCTGGGTACGGGGAACAAAATGTTAATGTGTGGCAGTTCATTCTTTAATACTAACTGCAATACTTCATTATGAGTAGGATGTATTTAAAGAACATTTAGAGTGCCAATTACATTCCAATGCATGTTCATAATTACACTGCTTCTGTTTTCTAAATATTATTATTTAGAATTATTACTATTGTAGCATTTATTACTTTTATAGCACCCCAAATATGATTTAAGTTACATTGTAATTAATTTTGGATCTTGAGATAATTTGCCTGAACAAGACTAGTACAGTACCATGTTTGTGATACTATGCCAAGTAAACTGCATGTATGTACTATAATTACCATATGAGAAACAAAGTTCTATCATTTTTTGCCCCAACATTTAAAGATTAATTGAAAATATGCATTCTGCAATGGATTCTTATTTAAGGACTAATTCCAGGAGGCACAGGAAGTTATATTACAAAGTAATGTTTGTGTTCCACCATAATGTTGATTGAAAGGACTTCATTTTACTCAGATATTCACTCTGTTACCTGCTAAAGTACATTAGGATTGTTTCATGAGATGGTATTATCTGAACCCTTGGGTTTAGCTGTAGGTAGGTCCAACAAAGAGTTGTTTTCAGGAGGTGGAATTCATTGAATGTAAACAACCTGCCAGGAAGAAATGATATATGAACAACAGGTTGGTATGGATTGCTTGTATTGTCATCTAAGGAAAAGAATAAATGCCAGAGATTACTTAAAATTACAATGGAAGAGCATCAGGAATGGATTTATAGATTAGGTTTCTAGAGATATTTGGAAAATAACAATACTTCACATTTAAACTGAATTTTGCAGCATAAGAATTACTGTAGATCAGACTAATGACCTATCTGCTCCCAGTATGAGATAGTAGTCAGTGCCCGAAGCATCAAGGTAAGGCATCAGACTTAAATACTTCACTTACTGTTGGATGACATTCAACCTGGTGCAATGGGTCCATTACAGTTAAGCCTAAAGTCATCTTTCACATCTTGTCTACCAGTGGGAGGGGGGTCTCCCCTCTAGTTCCATATTGTTAGTGTGAAAGATGGTGATGGGGCCAGGCTGACTGACTGGCCATAATGCCATCACACAGAAGGGTTGCACTATTCCAGCCTATCAAACTCACACATTTCTCGCAGGCTAAGAAAACAGAATTTGCCCCAACAGCATCCTTAGCATGCTTCCCCTCTGTAAAGCTGACTTCCTCAGGCCATAGGAAAGAAAAGTGAATTTCATTCTTTGTGTGACAGTACCATATCATGGAGTAAGGCGATTGTTGGGCAGCGGGGGGGAGGGACAGAGAAAAATTCCTTCCTCATCCCAGGATTCTGAGTTGTCCTTTTTATTCTAGAATTAAATCGCCCTAGAGCACAAGTGGGCACAAAATACCTGAGTTCCAGTTCAATGCACAGCTCAGTCAGACCCGCCTATTAAAATCAAATACCTATCACATTATACTATTCACAACTGTATCCTTCCAGTTATTGGGAAATTGTTACTTTCCTGAATTATTAAGACATGTTTTCCTCCATGAAAGCAATTAGTTTCTATTTTATGCATAAAGTGCCTGTGCATTAGGGAGGGGCAGGGTGTGGTGGCAGATGATTTGAGCATTAGAAGGAAAAAAGAAATAGCTGGCTTTGTGAGGAGTCATAGCGTGAGAACTACAAAGTAACTTGCCTACTGGGCATAAGAGTATCAGATCAGATAAGGAGGACTGACAACTTGGAAGAGAGTGTAGAGAATGAGCTGCAGTTGTGGTGTGTGTTAGCACCAGAGATGTAGGAAAATATAGGAGAGAGGTCTTGGAAGCTAAAGCGAGACTGGTAAGTATTGTAGGAGGAGTAAGGCTACGTATTCTGTATTTCATACACAGCACTAACTATATATCTGGAATCCAGGTATTACAGAAAGGAGAGTTCCAAGTTACAGGGAAAGGAGAATCTTTGATTCATCATGCCACTTTCGTTATAACATGAACCTAGGGACACCAAGCCGTGGAGTGATATCTTCTCATTTCACATACATAGAGCACCAAACCATCATTAGATATCCTGCGGACAGATACATGCCAGGAGATGGCAAGCTCTTTATCACATAAACCGACACTAATTTGTCCCCTATGATGAGTAGACTATGGCATTATTTGCTTATTTTTAATTGTAAAATCATTAGATTTTATTCCTCACTTCTCTTCATAATAACAATTACCAGGTGGGATTTTGGTCCAGAGAAACATCACACAAGGGAAATATGCACATCTACATAAGACAGAGGAGTTCTTAGGAGCAAAGAGTTTAGCACGCCAGACTGTTCATATTCTGAACCTTTTTGCCAATCCACATGTTGTTTTGAAACAAAACTAAATATTAACCTCATCAGAAGTTTTCTGTTTTACGGCCATCATAATTTTTTCTCTGACAAACACCACTACATAGCAGATATTATGTGCAACAACACAGTATTTCCAAGCCTGTAAGAATGCTTTTAAATCTGAAGGGAAGTCTTAGTTATCAACTTGAACTGCATGCTCAATAGGTATTTTCCTTTACAGGTTAGGGCAACAAAGTAATATTTATTAGAAAGGTTCACTGAGTACTTGATTCATTGTGGACAGGTATTCATTGTGGGGTGTGCATAGGGAGTAAAGAATATTTTCATGGCCAGAAAGCAATGAACAGCACATCAGTCTGACCTGGGTGATCTGAGCACTTTCTGTAGCAGTTCTTGTGGCAGTTTCCGTAGATGGATCTGAGAACTAAGCTGAGGAACAAGGTTCACCTCTAACCACCTTTCGCAGTCTGTTACCAGTGTTTCCTGTTTGTACTGATTAAGAAACACCAAAAGAGAAAATAGAAAGAAATGTATAAACCCTGGGTACCACCTGGTGGTCAAAACTGGTAGTATTCAAGCTCATACACAGCTAACCAAAGGATTAGGATAAATTACAGTTTTTCACTGACATGTTAAATCTTCAACTATACGTCTGTATATCACCATGCATTCAATTAATGTTATCTTACACTTTTTTTTACCATATTGCTCATAATTATTAGGATCTGCCCTGTTTCAAATTGTTTTAAAAGTTCAAAAGCCAAAGAAAAATCATCCTTTTGGGAAAAAAATTCCGTAGCCCCGATCATGTTGTTCATTGGAATATTAAAATATTAATTAGTTGGTGAACTACTCAACATTAACGTTTAGATCCAACCACCTAAACTAGGTGTTCTATTTCATATCCTAATTTCCACAGACTGTTGGTAGCGATGTAATGTATTATAAATGTAAATAAATACCCAATATGGTGTTACAAACAAGTCAGCATACCTGAAAGAATTTACTAATAGGAATCTAGAACCTTTAAGACAGTTTGAACTTTCTGTGGAGGTCTAAGGCTAGGTCTACACTACCCGCCTGAATCGGCAGGTAGAAATCGATCTCTCGGGGATCGAATTATCGCGTCTCGTCAGGACGTGACAATCGATCCCCGAATCGATGCTTTTACTCCGCCAGCGGAGGTGGGAGTAAGCGCCATCGATGGGGAGCTGCGGAGGTCGATTTTGCCGCCATCCTCACAGCGGGGTAAGTCAGCTCCGATAGGTCGAATTCAGCTACGCTATTCGCGTAGCTGAATTTGCGTATCTTAAATCGACCCCCCCCGTAGTGAAGACCTGCCCTAAGATATAACTTGAAGCAACCTTGCTTCTCAAGTGAACTTCAACAGCATTTCTAGCTCACCTTGCAAGCAGCGCAATAATAGCTACAGACATTGGCTGAGCAAATTCCACTCTTCATAATAGACACACACCTAGCACAAAGAAATAACTAGTTTTAAAAGCAAAATATAAAATATTACAGTATTAAAAAAACAGGAGAGTATGGTTTACTGGTTAAAGCACTGACCAGGAAAAATACACTCCAGTTACTCCTGATTGGGCCACTAAGTTGGACTGTAACATTAGAGGACTTACTTAACCTTTCTGTGCCTTGGTTTAATCATCTTACCCATCAGTTTATCATACTTTCCTATCATCCTTAACAGAAATAATTTATATGGTAAATTTAAACAGCTCTTTGCAAAACAAGTCAGAACTCGTAATGTAAGATAGACAGGAAGTTGCACACAAGACATGATATGGACAACTGTTCAGGGAAAGGAGAGCTAGGAGAGACTGTTTGTAAAATGAAGGAAGAAAGGATTCTTGGGAAAATTGGCTTAGTGAACTGAAGCGAGAAACTGTTTCAAGCACGGGAAGGGCTGCATGATAGAAGGCCCAAGGCCAAGAATGCATTGTCATTTTGGATAGACTGGAATGAGGAGAGGGAAGAGAAGAAAGGAGAAGGTTACAATAGTGAAGCCTAGAGGTGAGCAAAGCATTAATAAAGGTTTTTAAGATTGGGGACAGAGAGAAGAGGAGATTTTGGTGAAACTGAGGGGGAAGGAGTGACAAGACTTAGCAAGGAAGGGGAGGGATAGCTCAGTGGTTTGAGCATTGGCCTGCTAAACCCAGAGTTGTGAGTTCAATCCTTGAGAGGGCCACTTAGGGATCTGGGGCAAAATCAGTACTTGGTCCTGCCTAATGAAGGCAGGGGGCTGGACTCAATGACCTTTCAGGGTCCCTTCCAGTTCTATGAGATAGGTATATCTCCATATATTTTTTTATTTTAAGGAACTGCACATGGGGAAAGGAAGAGTCAAAGGATGTACTAGAGTTGTGATCTGAGCTACGATGATGATAGTGGAGTCATCAGTTGTTACAGAGAAGGACGCAGAGCAGTGGGTTAAGGAGGAAAAGGGAGAAGTTATTTTGGAAAGACTGAGTTGGAGACGTAGTATATAGAATATATGTAAAATGCTTTAATAAGTACCCATTTTACAAAGTAGTTTTACATGCATAAGACTAAGTCCAGAGCCCAATGAAATCACTCTAAAAATTCCAGTTGATTTCTGTGTCACCGGGATTTATACCAGGTAGAAAAATGCATTTGCAGTATATTAATAACCTAAATTGTTCTGTTTGGTTAGGCAATCAGAGTTCATCACTGGTAGTGTGAGTATGTCTCTAAGTATGTAATCACTTCAAGGTTTAGTTTTAATCTAGCTAGCACAGGTAATAATAGCAGACACATGGTGGCATGGGCTTCAGCACTGGCTAGCAATCAGAGTAAAAGCCCCCTGGATATGTATTAATGCAGTTAGTACATGCTGAAGTCCATGCCACATGAGACTGAAGCGAGCACATTTATGCCTATCTGTTAAATTGCAGTGACATACACACACACACACTCTACCAGTGATGGACTGCAATTGACCCAACCAAACAGAACAATCAGAATCCAACACTGGTAGTGTGTGAATGTCTCTGCGGATATTATACTAGTGTAAATGGCAGATTCTCTGTAACCTGAAGTCTTTAAATCATGATTTGAGGACTTCAGTAACTGAGTCAGAGGTTATGGGTCTATTACAGGAGTGAGTGGATGAGGATCTGTGGCTTGCAATGTGCAAGAGGTCAGAGTAGATGATCATGATGGTCCCTTGTGACCTTAGAGTCTATAAGTCTATGAGGCATATCCGTGCTAGCTTTGATCTAATATGACTTTTACTCTAGTTGCTAGCCTGTGCTAAAGCCCATGCCACCATGTGTACACTACTGTTATTACCTGTGCTAGCTACATTAAAGCTAACATGTGTATACCTATCCATGCTACAATCACACCTTCTCTTGCAGTGAAGACATACCCACAGAGAGGGGCTGTGATTGGTCCAACCAAACACGACATGAGAATCCATCACTGGTAGTGTGCGTACATCTCTGAGGATACATCTTCACTGCAAGTGAAGGTGTGATTATAGCACAGGTAGGCATACCCCGCTAGCTCTAATCTAGCTATCCTGGGAAACAATAGTAATGTACATGTGGTTGGGGCTCAGCATGTACTAGCCACTTAAGTACATACCAAGGCTAACATGTAGTATGCCTATCCATGTTACAATCACACCTTCACTTGCAGTATAGACATACCCTGTGTGCTTGTAAGCATATTTTTCTCTCAGAGGAATAACTGATTCTTGTTTTTCACTTGTAAATATTCATCTCAACATAAAAGTGCCTCCAGTATTTCTCCCAATAAGCTTCCCCTTTCTATTTCTTTAGAGAACTTATGGCAGTTATGGTCTACATTAATAAACCTAAAAGAAAGGCTTTCAGAAAGTAGTCACCCCCTCAGCATCTATTTCCGGACTGCCATTTGTGGGTCTGCCTTGTCCCCTCAAGGGACCAAAGCTAAATGCTGCTGAATGCTGAAATCAGTGGGACTTCAGGATGCTCAACAATTCATAAAATTGGGCATCAGTTGAGTGACTTTGATATATTATTTTAAATATTAGTGTCCATCATCTCCTTTTTGTTGTACTTCTAGAATTCTGCCTCTAGCTCAGACATCTCAGGGCAAATGTTAGGGTGAATAGAGGTAGAAGAGAGGTATTAATTATCTCCTTTTTGTCTGTGAGAAATAAGTTTATCTATACATAGCTCCTGAGGTCAAGTGCCCTTTGCCAAGAACTTCTCACTTGGCCAACTCAAGAAAAAATATTCAATTGTAAAAATATTTTTCAGTGAAATAACAAACCAATGGATGATTCACTTCATGTCTGTTGGCAGATCAAGGGTGTTGTTTTGTGCTTCCCGTGGGTGACAACCACATATTTTTCCATCCTCTCCCCCTAAGGATGCTCATGCAAGGCCCATGTGCCAAGAGACTAAAAATATAGCCACTGAGAAGTAAAATAAACAGTTTGTAGAAAGTGGGCTACAAGCAGCGCAAAACACCCTTATGCCAGCAGGCTCATTGGCAGCAGTAAACAGCAGTTTTATAGTCTGCTATACAGAAGTGCAAGTGTAATTCAACTAGCATTATAAGTAGAATCTTAAGTAAAACCCATAGGGAAACTAATAGCAAACATACATGCATGATAGCAACGAACTGTGGCCCTGTCTATTCTATGCTAGCTACAACCATGTGTAAATGCTAACATGGACTAGCACGTTTAACCTGAATAGTGTGGACAAGTATAAGAATAGTGTAGCCCAACTGTGCTACAGATATATCATTCTTAGGTAGCCTAGACTACAGTTTTACAAAATGGCTAACACCATTTCAGCTACACACACAAAAAGAAAGACAAGCAAACACGGTTAAATTCTTAATCTAACTATTGGTTGCAAAGAATAAGAATTACAATAAACTGAAGATTTATCTAAGTAATTGGTTACATGATTTAGGGCCTGATGCAGAGTCTATTGAAATCAATAAATCTTTCCACTGATGTCACTGGGCTTTGGATCAGGTCCTTAAAGAACATCTTCCTTTTGGGGGGTAGATACAACTAATAGAAAAGACTGAAGAGAGACAGGGGATTTTCATTTGTTATTTAAGAAACTTTCACACTGGTCAAGAAGTCTCCAATGTTTGGACACAAGAATATTGGGTTCATGTTAGTCATGGATATGAAGTGCCAAGAGGGAAAAACACGGTTACGGTATTTTTCATGTTTTCTATTAATTTTTTATTCTACTCATTCCTGTGGCAAGGTTTTGATGCTTTACTGATGTAATAGAACCTACTCAGTTGTCACCCTGATATCATCCGTGTAGCTCTTTATTGGGGACTATTGCTAGGGAACAGTTCCAGCACGAAGTATTTCAAGGGTTCTGAACAATGAGCGTATGAATGACTGACGCAGCTGTTGCTGCCTGCAAGCCTAGTCTCTCTGGTTGAGAGGTATAAATTGGTTTTTGCTGGCATAAATGCCCTGCTGTGTTATTCTTTGTATGCTGCTTCCCCTGCTATAAACAAGATGATTTTACCTTTCTGGGAGTTTTAATTAGTTGTTTTGCATACTGCTATTTTAAAAGCAATTCATAAACTCATAAGAGTGAGATAGCACAGTGCATGCCCATCAGTCTCTGCTAATCAGAATGGTTACCCTAACCCAGCATTTCTCAAAGGCGGCCACCATGGCTGAATGCAGTCACCAGGGGCTTTTCTTGTGGCCATAGCCTCCTGAGTGGTGATTGGGGTGTTGGGGTGGCGGGAAGCAGTAGCCCCTCCCCTGGGGCCGCCAGCGGGGGTTGGTCCCTGCCTCTTCTGGAGCCACAAACACTGTAAGAGCAGGTGGCCAGTGTGAGTTCCCCACCTTCCTGGGGGTGGTGAGGCTTGGGCTTTGGGCTTGAGCCCTGGGGTGGTGGGTGGTAGGCTCTGGCCATGCGGCGGCGGGCTTCATCCCCCAGCCACGGGGCTTTGGGCTCTGGCCCCGGGCTCATTCCCCCCACCTCACCTCCGGGCTCTGCTGCCTCCTCCAGCCCCCAGCCATGCAGCAGGACCCCAGGATCCAGCCCCAGACTCACCTTCCACATTGCACCGAGCCCTGGTACCTCTTCCAGCTCCCAATCCAGTCCCACATCGCCCCTGGCCCTCCTTATCCACCGCCCCATCCAGGGGTTTAATTTGTCCCTCAGCTTGCTGGGATGAGTAAGTCTGCTGTGAAAAGTGACATTAACACATATACAAATATCACTTTTCACAGTAGCAGACTTACTAGCTAGCAGATTTTTTTAAAAAATCAACCAAAAAACATGCAAAGCACATTATTTGTGTTTTTATTCTGTTTAGGTCCAGTAAAGATTAGAGACAACTGGACATTATTTTTATAATTGAGTCTGCAAAAAAACCCCTACATAATTAAATTACATGGATACATGCATATGTATTTGTTTTTCCTGAAATAAATTAATTATTTTAGGAAAAATTGCCAGAGCAGCCACCAGCAAGAGTTGGTGGCTGCACTCTGAGGCCGCCAAAAAATGTGTTGTGAGAACCCCTGCTAGCACAGTTCTGATTCTACTGACATGTGCCAATTCCAGTTACAGCAAGAGGATTTATTTGCTGTATTTTATTGTTAAGCCACTACACGGCCAAAGTTCTTCCCTACACATTGACCTTCTAGTGGAGCAAAGAATTATATTAGAAATAAAGCTCACAGGTTTTTAAATGCAAGGTACATAGGTACAGGTGAATAAATGGATTATGAGAGAACTAAAGCAATATGGTAGAATAGGAGCACTAAATATATTTGGGGGAGTTTTCTCTCTTTAACAAAGTGCAAAAGGGAAGATAGCTGAGCTGAGTGTGATGAACTCCCTCAGACACTCTGGTGCTTCTTGGGGTTTTCAGGAGGAAGAGGACACAGAACACAATGTGACATCTAATGAGATGCTGTGAACTACCTGCCCTGACAGAGAGCTGCCAGCCACTGTATACAGAAAAGTTCTCAATAGCTATAGGATCAGCTGTTCTACACTTAATCTATCACAGCTATCCATGTACTAATCCAGCCATGTCAGAAAGAAGTGGCCATTTATTTTCTCTTTATAAAATTACCAAATATTTAGGGTTAGCCAAGCATTCCTCTTCTGTTCCCAAGATTCAGCCACTTTCTGATGCAGATTTGTGTACATTTGTGTATGTTAACACTCTGGTAGCAAGGCTGCTGGGAGAGTGTATATTATAGGTGTTGTGTTGCAAATAACCCATGTGCTACAGGCAGCAGATGCAATGATCCTATAGATCACAATCATCTAGGGCAATTATGCCTAATCCTTCAGTTCCAAAAGCACAGGCCTCTTCCACCTGACATAAAGAAAAAAAAATCACACAGCATCACACAACCAGCATCTTACAGTGGCACAAAGTTTACTTACTTCTGGAAGAGACTAGGGAACTGCAGCACTGATGCAGCTGCCAGGACTCCCAAAACATCACCCTCTTCCACCTCTGGTTCAGTACTGTATAAATTCTTGAGTGCTATAGCAAAGGCTTCACAATGCAATATACAAAGAAACAAACAAAAAAACCTTCAGCATTAGGTTGTGCTTTCCCTTAAAATGGGTTGGCTGCAGCACAAAGTATACGGAGCATCTCCTGTTCAGCGTTGATAGTTAATTATTAGCTGAGACCACATGGTGGGGGAAAGTCCTAGAGTAGACAAAGCCTTACTGTTAGCTTCATGCTCCCTTCAGTTAATGCTCAGAGACTAACCCTGGGCTTGCAACCACAACCTAAGAATCTGGCAGTGCCCAGAAGACACCCCCTGAATGGTGAAAAGTCCCAGAAACACCAGTGAAAAGTCCCAGAAACACCAGTGTCGAGACCATTAGAGGAAGATACTGAAAAAAAGTCCTTTGAATTTTTCAGCAAATAAATGTCATAACCCGGCCGCCCTTCCTGAGAGGGGTGTTTTGCATGGTTTCCTCACATGACTGCAAATAAGTGAGATCTAGGCTATAAAATAAGAATAGGCTGCCCTATGATAAAATTAACTCCTGTGCATTGGGCTAGTACAAACCTATGTCCTGCTCCTGCTTAAATGGGATTTAAGTGGTGGATTGTCCTTATGCTGGCCCTCTGCACAGGGGTGAGTTTGACTGCTAGCATATAAAATGCCACTCCCACTCCATGGCTCAACAGGGAGGATGTCTGATCTGACTGGCAGGGGATAGACAAGCCCTGGGGTCCTGAAAGGAGGAGGAGAAGGGGCTGCTCCAGAGCCCCCCTCCCCCTCAACCAGAATGCACATGGAGATTGTGCCTGGGCAGGGAGTGGAGCAAGGGAGGCACAGAGATTTCTCCACCTCTCCCAGTCACATATTGGCTAGATGGAGGGTGGGAAGTGAAGAGTTGGTTGTCTCTCCTAGCCTACACTTCATTTGCAGCAGCAATTCTGCTATGGTTGCTGCCCTGTCCTCTCTGCCCTATAATGGAGGTGTAGTTTGAACTGCATTTCCAAGCTGTAGGCTGACTGATCACCAGGTTTAGGATTGGGCAGGAGTTTTCCCCTCAGGGTATGATGGGCAAAGGTGCAGATGAGGGTTTTTTTGCCTTCCTTGCAGCTTCCCAGAGGCCTGGTTTTAGGTTAATAAGGGGTAAGGACTGGAATTTAGAAGTTGTGTATGTATAAATGGAGTTTGTAGTTGTGTTGCAACTTGTGGCCAGTATACAGTGTAAGTAAGAGGCTCAAAGAGGCCAGTTCCCAGAGGTAAACAGGAGTCAGAGAGCCAGTATTTGGTTGATGAACACTATTCGCCTCAAGGCAGAATGGGAGACTGTATGTCTTCTTATACTGAGGTCCCTTCATGTGCATCCTCATTCCCGCTCATGGGAGGAGGGGTGAGAGGATTTTGAGGTGGGCAGAATCCCAGCAGTTAGTCTGAAGGGGACCAACCTTGAATTTTGGTTAATTGAAATTAGGCCATTTAACACTCTACTGGACCCAAGTAACTGCCTGGCATGTGCGGGAGCGAGGTTAGCCCATCCCTGTTCCCTGTTACCCCATTAAAATTAAAATTGATAAAGGTGTTTTCTGTCACTTTAAATTCTATCCCTGTGTCTGCGTTCCATTCTCATATGTGTCCTGATCAATGGGTCAAATGTCAGCATCAGAAATCTCCCTAAAAACAAACATTATAACAAAATAACAAATGCTTCTTTATATTGACATTTCAGAAGTGTTCCAATAATAAATCTGTCTAGGTTTTATTTTTGTCCCCCATAGAGCACAAAGACTTAATTTGATGTAGGAATGTCGTGGATGCAGTGAAATATCCAGTTTGCATTTGTGGTGATAGTCACTCTCTAAAAGACAATTTGTCATCTCTACATTACCAATTCTAGTGACTTCTGGGTCCTGAACATCCAGTGAAATGGTGATCTTTTTCATTTTTGACTTCTCTTTGCCGAGTGCCTTAGTTTTCTGAGCAGCCAGGTTGGACTGTTTATTGTGTTTGCCTTCTGCCAAGAAACAAGTTTGGATATACATGAAAATTTCATACGAGACTTGTGATATGGTATTCACAGTACACATTCCAGAATACTTTGCTACACAACTCACTTTGGCAGCCAATAAATAATTCATGCTTAGGTGTAATACACAAAAAATGAGACATTTCCTCCCCAGCAGAACTGGCACCCTTCTTTGGCAATCTCAACAGAGAAGCCAACAGAACATGGAAACTGAGCTGTCTTCCTGGCAGTTTGGCAGTAGTCCTTCCAAAAGCAGGTTAAGGAGATATTGGCCACAAGCTGTACAATGTTTCCATTGACTTCAGTGGACTCTGGGTTAGGTCCCATGTTCTTATTGCCATGCAGAACAGACTAGGAAAAGCTATCATGAGTCTGTGTCCATTCATTTCTCTCCTGTAGAGGAATTAACCCAGAAGTCCAACCCCTAAGGAGCACTCAGAAGTCAGGACAGATCCATGTAACAAACTGCATTGACTGATAACTGGGCATTCTCCTTGAAAGAACCAAACTTTAATTATAGGAGATTAAAACCAACTTGATTTCCTATTAATCTTCTCCTCTCCGAGACGACAACACCACAAGACTTCTCAATTTTTTCATTAGGCACTACTAAGAATACCTTTTTTGCTTTTGTGCTGGCTTTCCAAATCATTTATGTTCATTGGCTCTACTGCAGAAATTAAAAGCTGTGACAGCGTCTTGGATTTAAATAAATAGATACGATGAAGCTCCCATAAGAAGCCCAGGCACTCCAAGGCCACATCTAAAGAGACAGAATAGTTGGGTAATTATAACGCTTGGGTTAAAATTCAGATTCTGATCCCAGTTACACCAGTGAGAATGTGGAGTAACTCCATGGAGCATTTTTTATTCAGACCATTATTTCTGTGACAGTATTCATCTGAGATGACCTCACCTGGTTCCATATCTTCTGTCATCTTCTGCGTGTGGGAAAAGATGACTTCATTTGTGTAGGCTTGATTGGAGTGTACCCTCAAAGAAGAGAAGTTGAGGCAAAACCAACATTAAATACATTTATACTTATTCATCCTCTTAATTGTTTTTTTGTGTGGCTAGAATAAAAAGATGTAAAAAACATTTGTTACCTCTCCAGCTCATTGCCCTTCTGAGATTGTGGCGATAAAGATGACGAATGGCCTTGTGTTTCAAATTCTAGATTCGATGTCTGAATCTTTGGTTCATCAGACAGTGAGACAGGTGTGTCAGCTGAAGAAGCACATTTCCTTATTATTGTCTCAATGTATGTTGGTTAGGAAAATCCCAAGCAATGTCAGTTTAGCAAAACAATACTTTTTTTCCACTCAGGAAAAATAGTTGGATTGATCACGTTGTCACTTAAGAACTCAAAGGGTTGAGTTCTTGATTCACAGTTACAGGCTCTTTACAATTTTCACATAATTCACAGAGGAAAATAATACTTTACTATATTGTCAGAATTCAAATACAACATGATTAGGGCTTCTACGTGCTATGGTAATACAAATAATAAATAATAAAATACAGAAAAATAAAGAGCACCTATCTGCAGTAAAGCAAGAAAAGACTGACAGAGGGAATTCTTGGGGTGAGGATGGCTAAGGCACGAGTATAGGTAGTTGAGTTCAATTCCCAGTCTGCTATACATGTTCTTGGCTGATCTTAGGCAAATCACTTAGGCCTTGATTCAGCAAAGCATTTAAAACCCATCTTAATTTTAAGCCCAGGATTAAAGCCCTTTGACTTCAATGGGATTTAAAAATGTATCTAAAGTGAAGGACATGCATAAGTGCATTGTTAAATAGGGACTTTGTATTGCCTAAGAGCTTTGCCAAACTGGAGTGTAAATCTATTCTTGCCTCAGTTTCCCCATAATGAAATGGGAATAATGATCTAATTAACTGGTCATAGGGCACAGTTGTAAAACTGAAAAAAAAAAGTGGAAAAAAAACCCCATCAAAAATCTTGTGTTTTTCATTAGAAATTCAAACTTTTTGAAATTTCCCAACCAGCTCTAGTAGGTATACAGGTTTCAGAGTAGCAGCCGTGTTAGTCTGTATCCGCAAAAAGAACAGGAGTACTTGTGGCACCTTAGAAACTAACAAATTTATTTGAGCATAAGCTTTCGTGGGCTACAGTCCACTTCTTCGGATGCATAGAATGGAACATATATTGAGGAGATATATATACACAAACAGAGAGCATGAAAAGATGGGAGTTGTCTTACCAACTCTGAGAGGCCCAAGTTGGTAAGACAACTCCCACCTTTTCATGCTCTCTGTTTGTGTATATATATCT